ATAGTCGGTGTTAGGCGCCTCTGGATCCAAGAAACTCTTATATCGCGTCCCTGCAGCGAAGCCCATTAACATTGGTAAGGGCGCTTATCCGGCTTAAGTGCAAGTTTTGTCAAATGCCGCCGCAGGTACTGAAGCTTGATTAGATGATCGGATTCTCTCTCTCTCTCTCTCTCTCTCTCTCTCTCTTCCTCTCCTTCTCCCTCTCTCTCTCTCCCTCCCTCTCCCTCTCCCTCTCCCTCTCTCCCCCTCCCCCTCCCTCTCTTCACCTCCCCATCCCTTTCGCCTCGCTCTCTCCTAGGTGTATATATTTAGCCAGCAGACACCCAGAGGGTTTTAAAAAGACTCCCAGTTCCCTCCTCCCACAATCATGCAGCAAACACGTTCTCAAGAACTGCTTGCAGCAGGGGAGCAACCAAGACGCTCATCTGCGTGGTTGATTACAGCCCTAAAACGGACGACGTGTAATTTCAGTTCTCGCCTCAGATCTTGGGCTTGATTTCCAGGGGCCCACTTAGCCAAGGGAAGGGGGGGAGGGGAAGGAGGGGGAAAGAGGCGCTGGAGGCTTTATTTGTCCTCGTCCCTATTAGCTATGCAGCCAATCTATCATTTCCGGCGGTGCTTCCATCTAATTACCGATGTATTTAGATGTGACGTGCAAAGAACTGCCGAGCCGCCTGCTTGGCTCTGCGTGGACTCCTCGCCGGGAACCTTTCCAATAAGGGCTGGAGCGCCCGGAGTCTGAGCTCCAGACAAAGAGAGGAAGAGCTGATCTGCGCTGCAGGCAAATCCAACGCAAATCAGCTTTTCCGCGGAGGTGAGAAAGGGGTTTGGGACCCGAAGCTCCGAGGGCAGCAGCTCTGATCTTCCGCTCTTCCCTCCCCACCGCCAACCCTTTCTGTCACAGAAAGGAAAGCCTCAGAGAGAGTCTCTCAGGCAGAAGGCAGGTCCGCTGTTTGCCCTCTGGTGCTGCAGTCAAGTCTCAGGGGGCGCAGGTGATCCTCCCCTAAGTTTGCCTGGCTCTTCCCGTGTTTGACCCAGCCAGAAGTGCAGTGAAGCCAGAGCAGACCCAGGACATTTTCCCCTGAACACACGCACCCTCCCTGCGGACTCTTTTTCGGAAGGAGAGAGCCGGTTTCACCTCCGAGGGCTCGTAGCCCGGAGGTCTTTGGCCTGAGTGGCTCCGAATTCTCCGCTCTGGCTTTGTCCTTCTAAGCCTGCCTGCCTGCCTGCCTGCCTTCCCTCCCACCCTTCCTTCCCTCCCTCGGGCGCGCCGCCACTCCCCCCCCCCATTGTGGAAGGAAGGGAGCGATCTGTGATTCTCCAGCTCGACCCCCACCCCCCGCCCCGCTTGCCTCTCTCCCTCCCTGCCTCCTCCACAACTGGCTCGCCTTGTGCTTCTCCGTCTTTGGCTGGCTCTGCCCCAACAGGACACGGGGTTAAGCGCGCTCAGCGGAGTTCCCAAACAAGAGGAAACTTCTGGGAACGGAAAAATCTGGCACTCGCCGAGAAAAGGAGGCTCCCGGTGGTGGGAAACTGCCCTTTCCGACGCTCAAGAATGGCGGGCAAACTAAGGGACCACGGGTGCCTCCCCGAGCGGGCGATTGTTCCGCCACCGCTAACCTGCCTTACGCCCCCAAATCCATCTAGGTTTCTGACCCGTGAAGGGTTAACAACACACTCACAAGCACCGATTCTGGCGGTGACCTTTTCCTCTACGTCTCCATTCCCCCCCCCCCCTTTTCAGGCTCCGGTTCTTACGCTCGCAGGGAGCCTGAACGGCTGTCTAGACCAATCTATCACAGGCGGACGAAACAATACCAGGAAAAAAAGCCCCCTTCCCTTTTCCTCCGGCTGCCGTACCTCACCTTCGAGATTATGAGGGAGGGAAGAAAGAAACACTGTCTGCCGTACCAGCCGTCAGTGAACGGGTAGAAACCCCCCCCCCCGACACAGCCCACCTTCATGCCTGACAAATGGGATTTTGTCTGCCCTTTTTAGCGCACGCCAAAGACGCATCACACGTTTCATGTTCCAGAGCTGCACTGAGAGAAAACCCGGATTCCCTCAGAGAAATGCGTGGGGCGGTGTGGGGAGGGAGAGAGGGAGGGAGAGACTAGACTCTGGGCCTGACAGACACGAGAGGATTTAATCACGGCCTCCATCCAGAGATCGCTTATTTTCTTGACTCAAAGCGCTGGGATTCGGGGTGACCCTATATCAGACCAAAGTAGTTTCCGCGGCACTAAGTGGAGGGCCAATTCTGCAAAGGGCTGGGGAATAGCTAATAGGTTGCGCGACTTATTGATCCAGAGGATACTTCCTAATTAACTCCCAGACACCAATTCAGAGGGCTCTTCTGTAGCTAAACTGGAAAGCCAGCCTCAAGAGAAGGGGAGGGGGGGATATTAAAGCCGTGCTTTATAATCCTCTGAAAAGCAATTAAGATTGTCTTGCTTGGGGGAGAAAAAACCCAAACCCCGCCAGTTTCCGCACGCATTCCCACGACCTATATAAAGAGAAAAACAGACAAAACCTTATCCAAGTACAATCCCAAGTAAACTCAAAACCTCGATCTTTTAATGCATTTTAGTGGTCCTATAAAGATATCACCCCATTCTGGCCTAGGATTTTGCTCAGGGAACGCACCGCAGGGCGTTTTGTTCTGTTCTTCTTAAGCACTGTCTTCTTCTTCTTAAGCTTCATGACCTGTATTACTCTAGCTCAAGCCCGCTGGCCTCCAATGGCTATAAGGTGTGACATGTATAACCAGGAGGCCTTTACACCAAGGGCACCACATCCCGAAGCAAAACCGGCAGCGCCAAGATTTGAGGGACGAGAACTACATAAATCAGAAAGCACAAACTAGAAGCAGCAGTCAGAAACGCCAGGATTAGCAGCATGCAAACGTTTGGCCCCTGTGGCGGGGGGGGGCTGCGAAGGGGGAGGGAAGGGAGAGCATTAGCTTCCATGGGGCAACTGGTTTCGGCGGCCGAACTCCAGTGCCCAACGCCCGGGAGGCTTCTTTTCAGGGCGCTTCACTTCACCTCAGCTAACAGGGGAGAGGAGAAGTCCCGCTGCTTATCTTTGTTGGCAGATAGTCTTCCGTGGGGCCCCATCGAGGGAGCCCTTTGGCCTCCAGGCTTCCTTCACAGGGAGCCGCGATCATGGAAAAGTTTAGAAAAGCTTGACAGAATCCAGTCTGTGCGGCCAGGCCGAGTTCAGACCGCCCTTTCGCCGGGTGTCCTTTCCAAAGGAAGCCAAGCGCTGAAGCAGCAGATAGAAAGCCGAACAAGGGATCGTTCGGAAAATGTAATGGGGAAGCCAGCTTCGAGGCGACTGCCATTAAAACAAGCGCATGGGTTTTGCCTGTGCTTGATATTAGAGGATGTTGGGACTGGGTGGAAAATCCTCTCCATACTTCCTTTCCGCCCTGACCCACCCACGTACCCTCCTTCTGTGAACCTGAGGTGCCAGCCGATGACCCAGAAATGGAGAAGGGACGCGCTTCACAGGAGGAGGAAAGGTCGCCCCCCGACTCGCTTGGTGAGGAACAAATAAGCTACGTGCCTCAGATACTGTGCTCCAGCAACCCTGGAGTTGGCGGCAACCCGCGGGGAGGGGGTTTTGGCAAACAGTCCCTTGGCCATCCGGTCTTTATTAGGGAAGTTCTCAACCTCCCCGGAGCCAGGAGGAAAGGTGCAAAGGACGCGTGAAATTCCTGGCCGCCACCCCGGACCCCACACTGGCAACATAAACTCTTTGAACTGGAACCAGCAGCGCTAGAACATCCTCTCCTTACCCCTTCACCTAAACCCTTCCCATCTTCTCCACCCCTCCCACCTCCCACTCCGATCCGCCAGTGGCCTCGAAAACAACCGAGAAAACCTTCCACCGCCTCCGCAATCCTTTTTCAAAGCGCGTTCAACCAACAACAAATGCACCCGGCACAGAGCCGCCGAAACCCTTTTTCTCTGTGTGTGGGGTTTTGGTGGGGCTTTTTTAATTCCTTTTTTTCTTTTTCCCTCTAGTGTTTTGCCTGTCTTTTCTCAGTACTCATCTTTTAACTCCGCTGCCCGGTGAACCAAAAGGGCGAGCCAAGAAGCTTTTCAGCAACGCTCCGGGTGCCCTCCTTTCCTGCCTGGATCCAGCCGCGTGCTGTTTTTTCCTCCTCCTTCCCCTCCACCCACTCTCTCCCCTTTCCCCTTGGGAGCCGAGACGTAGAGGCTGCCAGAGGTGGGGCTTTTTACAGCCCTTTCCAAATCGGAAAGATAAAAGAGAGCGAGACGCCAGGAACCTTCTTGCCCTCCTCCCTTCCGGCCGGAGTAGACAGAGCGCGACCGACAGCTTCCCCCTTTCTCCTCTTCTCTCTCTCTTTCTCTCTCCAACCGC